ATATATATATATATATATAAACGCAATGCATTATATACATTATATATTACATATATTATCAGTTGTATGTAATATATATTATATATATACAAGCATATATATATATGTATATAAGCAAATATGCATTATGTATAATATTATAGGTGTAGTGTGTATGATGCATATATTGTGAATATGCCTACAAGAAGCAGACACAATAATTATTATCATCATTTTAATTTACTTTTAATTCTAATTTAATTTAATTTAATATTTATTTTAATTTTATTTGTTTGTTCTCAGATGTGCCCGAAGTTTCTGCGCAATCAGCGCTACTGCAAGAAGGGGATGCTGAAGGCGCGAGAAGAGTGAAGAAGTTTGTAAATAAGAATTTAATTAAATAAAAACAATTAAAAGAAGAAGATAAAGAGTTATAGACAAACAAATATAAATAAATATAAAGAAATACAACAGAGATAATAGTCGCCGTAGTATTATCTCTCTCTTCTTTGTCTTCTGCTGGAGATGCAAGACAACTCCTTAACTTCAAATTATTATTATTATTAAACTTTTGTATTCTCTTCTCGCTTCGCCGTCTTAGTCTTTCGACACAGATACTTTAATATTCAATTAGACTATTAAAAAAAAAAATATATATATATATATATTATATGCAGATATATATATATATATATATATATATATATATTATACGTAGCCTTAAAAGGTAGACAGGTGTATCTGCAACATTAGAAAACGAGACTTCTAGTGAAGGCGGCAGACCTTCCGTATAAAACAAGAGAAACAAACAAATAATTAAATACTGAATGAATGAATTAATTAGTTGTTTAGATATACTGCATGCAGGAGCAGCAGCAAACAAATCTAAAAAATTTAATTAAAAAGGCGCAACGCCTTCCTAATTAAATTTACAAAATTCAAATTTGCAAAAAATCGGCGAAATTTTCGTCGATTTTTTTCGCAAATTCGACGCACTGCAATTCAAAAATTTCAAAATAAAAAAAAAAGACCTCCTCACTCTATTTTTGTATATTATAATTATATATATTATATATATAATATATATAATATATCTATTTAATATACATATAATATATATATACATATATCTAAATACGTCTCCCCTCTGGGGATTACTTGTAGATATAATACGGAGATAATACTGCATGCATATGCCGGTATATAGTTAATATATATATATATATATATATATGCATATATATGTATAATATATACATAGATATAAATACTATATATATATACTATATACGTATATATATATGTATATATACACGAATACTCTATGCATAAATACTGTATATATATACATATATACTATATATATACATATAAATATAAACGCTTTCTATACGCAAACCATATATATATATAAGTGAATATATATAATATATATAATATTAATAAATTAAAGTTTTGAGATTTTAGGAAACATATCTCTGGTGAATTTCATAGCAGCTTTTGTACTTCCTTTGATTTTCATCTTACCCTGTAAGAAAGCCATCTGAGGGTTTAACTTTCCTGTAGCAAGCTTGAAAAATATATCGTCTTTTAAAGTAAAGCAGCAGTCATAAGGTTCTTTAGATGTAGACGGTGCTTCTTTTACTGTCGGAGGCATCTGCTTCAAATTTATATAAAATGTGCATGAGTTACCTCCGCTCTTGCAAGGCAACAAATCTACGCGGTAGATACACCCAACCTGCAATCATAAATATATATATATATATATATTTATATTTATTTATACTTATTTATTTATAGGTTTATATGTTTAGATTTATGTATTTATATATTGTGCATATAGATGTAGGGTAATGCGCTAAATGCGTATATTATACATCCTACATATACATTTATATATAAATATATAAACATAAATATATATATATATATGTATATATATATATATATACATATATATATACATATTGTTAAGTGTGTATACATTAATATATGTATTTAATATACATATATATATATATTGATATTTATTTATTGATATACTTATTGATATATTTATTGAAATACCTGTTTAACAAGAGCGGCTCCAGCAGGTGAATTGAGATGGTCTACGAGGAACGGAAAGAGTTTTGCGCTCTGCATTTGTGCTGCTGCTTGGCTGAGAGGTTGTTGTTGAGTTTGTTTGTCTTGTTGTTGAGGTGTATCTGCAGCTTGTGTAGATTTGAACTGCTGCACGAATTTATCAACAGCTTCTGCTGCACTCAGAGAGAGCAGCTCAGGGGTTATTGAAGGAAACAGCTCCGGTGTAAACTTTGTTGCTTTACTCATACTCCCTCGAACCTTCATCTTACCCTGAAGAAATGCTAATTGCGGATTCAGACTGCCTAAACATATCGAAGAAAATGTTTCGTCGCCCATTATAAACGTCGCGTCGGCGACGCCCACTGCGCCCTCCACAGCTCGCCCCTCTGCACCAAAGTCAAACAGTTCAATATACATATATATATTATATATATTATATATATAGATAGTTATATATATATATATATATATATATATTGTTATAGATAGTTAGAC